AAAGGGGTGACGACAATCCCCCCCCCCCCGAAATAATCCATTTTCAATATAAAAAAAAAAACAATAAAAAAACCCAAAGAGAATACCATTATATTTAACAACATTTCACACTTTTATATCATGATCTGATCACTTTGAGAAGTTTACTTTCTACACCTTTTATCATTTTATACCATAAATAATGTCTGTTCATAAATTATATGCTTTGGTATAATCTATAAAACAACAGAGTCGTGTTTTTTTGTGTTTTTTTGTGTGTTTTTTTAAAGTACGATAAATTAAAGATTGTAAAGTGAAATGGCGTCAACGATAGAAGTGAGTTTTTTTCTAAATCCAAACTAGGCGTCCGTGACTTTATTATATATTATATTTCATTTCAAACGATACAAGTCTTTCATTTATGATAGCAGAAACAAACCAGTACAATTTAACAAGGTGATACCTCTATAGTTGTCTGTGCTATTAATGTCACCTTTTTAAAAAACATGAACTGTATTTCCAAGTGATCATGATGACGGGGAAATAACAGACTTGAATATATTATTGAATAATAACAATATACCTTGCATTAAAATATCTTTGCAATTAATAAAATATTCATTAAAAATACCATCTTGTCCACAAGCCTTGTTATTTTTTTATTTTTTTAATAGCACCCATAATCTCAATCTCTGTTATTTCTATATCTAGTTCATGAGGAAGTAGATCATCAGAATCAGAGCCATATGCATGTATGGAAAGTAGAAAGCAAATCACTTCTACACTTTGAAACAAAATCTTGTGCTCACATAATGGTTCCACCTAAAGCATTAGAATGCCAAGACACCAACATAACGAGTAAGATATCTTTTAACCACCTTCTCTACAGACTGTTTAAACCAACCAAACAACCCTTGAAGTACAAACCAGGCAGGTTAAACATCCTTATAATTCTGCTTGTCTTATTACAATGTAATGACATAGAATTTAATCCAGGCCCAAGTAATGACATAGAACTTAATCCAGGCCCAAGTAATGACACCACTAAATACACATGTGGTACTTGTGACACAACAGTAACAAGGGAACATAAGAGCATTGTGTGCGAAACATGTGACCAGTGGTTTCACACAGATTGTCAGAACATTAATAGCCGAACATACCAAGACCTAGATAATAGTATGGTCAGTTGGCATTGCATAACCTGCGATCAGCCTAACTATAGTAATATTCTCTTTGACCTGCATAGTAGCAGTACATCCAATAGGTTTGATAGCCTATACTCAGACCTTGACATCACGCATGCAAGTGTAAATACCATCAACAGCAGTAACATTCAACATAAACCTCTTCATTCATCAACCCCAGTTATAATTAACAAGAAGCGGTATACCAAAAGTAAGACCAAGCCCCTGAGAATACTAAACATCAACATTCAGTCTGTTAAAAACAAACAACACCTCCTACACAATCTCCTTGAAAGTACCAAGCCAGATATCATCATTGGCACAGAAACGTGGCTAAATTCAAACATCCATAATTCAGAATTTTACCACCGATACTTTCAAAGTTTATCGTAACGACAGAAAACCCCCAGAATAATGTTAAGGAAGGGGGAGGAGTCCTTATAGCAATACAAAATGACTACATCAGCGATGAGGTTCCTGATTTATTACCAGATGACAATAACACAGAAATAATATGGGCGAAAATCAAAATTGTGGATAAAAAAAACCTTATACATATGCTCTTACTACAACCCCAAAACATCAAACGATATCAGCTTTGCAAGGCTTGATACATCTTTGAGAAGAGCAACTGCCCTTAATAACGCGGCAGTCTTTATTGGAGGTGACTTCAATCTGCCAGGCTGGGACTGGTAGCGAAGGATTATCAAATCAAACCCAACACTAGCCATGTCCAAAATCATTATAATTTTTCCAATTTGCTAGATGATACTGGTCTTGTACAGGTCATAGATAAACCAACTAGGCATGAAAATACCCTTGATCTTATAATAACAAATTTCCCCAATCAAATGTCCCGTACTGAAGTCATCCCTGGTATTTCAGACCACGACATACCATTTGTCGAATTTGATATTGAACCCCAAAGAGCCCCTATCAGACCAAGAAATGTCCCCATCTATAAAAAAGCTAACTGGGACAGCATCAGATCAGGCCTATCAGACATACTAAATTCCATCCAAACTTACTCTGATCAAGATATAAATACAATGTGGGAAATCTTTAGACTCGGTCTGGTTAATTCCATCCAAAACCATATCCCCCACAAAAACATCAAACCCAAACCTAGTCAGCCATGGGTAACCCCTAATATCAGAAAATTAATGCACAAAAGAGATAGACTCTACAAAAAATGTAAAAAAAAAAAAAGCAGGGGAGGGGATTACTCCAACAATGTTAGAGGTTTTACACGGCGAAAAACTTTTGACAGGCGCCGCGTAACCTCTAACTTCCCATAGCTGATTTTCCCGATGCTGACGATCACATTTTCAAAGTTCGGATTAAGAAAGAGTATATCGTTTTTACATACATTTAAATGGTCAAAAGGGTCCAATAAATATTCCTTTCCATAAATCCATGATTATATGAGAATAACTTCGTGTCAAAGACATAAATAATGAGTTTTTCCTCATTCGAAGCGAAGCAGACAGCATTTGCAATGATTTTTCCGGTTAATACAAAAATGGATTACATGT